CAGAGTCAACCCTGCGTTGCGCAGTTCGCAACGGCACGTTGAGAGATCCTCAACGCACGCTGTATGGGCGGAGACACAGACGGCTCGAGCATGCGAGTGTGAATGTTCGCGCGAGAGAACGTGTCTAATCGGGCGAAACTGCGCAACGTGGCCGTTGAGAACTGCGCAACGCAGGGTTGACTCTGGTTATGGGTTAATCATAATGGCACGGAAGGGACGTCGATGCCTAGAAGGTTTTTTTTGAAGTCAACCGCATCGATGCGATGAAGGCTACCCATCGGCTAGCTTGTCAGTTATGTCGTATCCACGTTGCATGAGGGCGAGCGCGATGTGTCTCGTACCTAAGGTCACATCAGGTATATCAGATCACTTTGTAAGGCCGCTACGTCGCGTCCTTTCGAGCCGCGACAACGTCACATCTGTAATCCTTGTGGATAACTCTATTCTACTCATACAATAGATGGTTTCACACAAACTCATCAGGGATCGTTCCTCGGATAAGTCTAGCTAATTACGTTTCTCATTAGTTGTTCGCTCACTTGCAGGATCAGTCGCGACGTTAGGAAAAATTTCGAGAATATCACGATCCCTCCTCCTTCCAGGGGCTTGATACGACCACCCCACATCACCATAGGCGAGGGGGTGGGCGGTCACCCAAATATGTGTCCCCCTTCCCACCCCCAATTACACCACACTTTGCACTATAGTACCTCTCCCACTGCTCCCGATTTCCCACTCGGGAAACTCAAGTTTCATTTCCCTAGAGCTGACACACAAATAGCAAAATAAGCCTCTGCCTCTTCGAAAAACCCAAATACGACCCTCTCGTTGGTAACTTACCGAAGGACGGTTGTCCCTGCTTCCTTGACGCTTCGTCTATGTCCTGTTTGCTTTACATAAAGCTTTATCATTAGGGCATCCTAAAAGTTGAGGGAAACTATCTTCTTTGTAGCGCACAAACGCGCTAAGTCAAAAGGGTAGATCAGAATGGAGGAAAACTCTGGGTAGACTGTTTGGTGATGATCAAAATACTTCGTCATATTGTCGGTAAATTAAGATCGCTTGAACGATGTAGGACTGACAAGAGTACCTACGCCTTCTGCTTCACTGCTAAATTCAGTCGTTCTGCGATTAAGCCCGGCGAGTTGTGGCTACTGATGGGCAAATATGTAGTATTATTACCACGTGCTTCGGAGTGCAACTGCTTGGCAAGGGCGAAGTTTTGCTTTGAAACTCCTAGGATAGAGACAACGTC